GCACGTGCGCAGGAGTGTGTATCGGGTTGCACCGGAAGTTCGCCAGTTGAAACACAATGGCGGCCGGATGTGGCTGCTCGAAACGACACGTATCTCTTTATTGATATCTTAGAAAGCTCAATATTTTTCTTGTCGACACTTCACAACTATTGACAGTTATGAAGTGAATGTAAATGATAGTGATTGTTGGTTATAATGTCCTGATTGTGTAGTTTTTGTGCAATATAACAGGATCTCTGAGGGTTCACCGAGGAAGTCGGTTAAAAGCATTTTCTGGTATCATTTGTAGAGTGAGACAGTTTGCCTATGTAGACTAGCAATGGCCATGCATGTTGTATCATATAAACAAAAACCATATACTACATAGTTCCCCTTTATCAGTCACTTATTCAGTATCCATTACTCGTACTGTGTGAGGCACATTCCACACAATTACGCACCGCATTTACAACATCTATTAGCTAATACAAATATTTAAAGTCAAACACAGGTTACTCAATAAGATTAGCCTATTATTTATAAAATAGTAATTAAGTGTCGTAAATATCAGAGTTTATATTTTAATTGCGGCTATTTGAGCCTATTACGTTAAAATTCGTGTTTGACACGAGTATCTGCTATGAATATTTACTTTTATATTATGGCAATTAATGTTTATTCAATAAAAAAGCTGAATGGTTGTAGGGTAAGGCTATCAGGTCGGGGCGGGGCTTCGGCGGCTGATAAATCAGTGCGCGTCGCATGCGCAGGACACTGCCGACCGCGCGCCGCCACTCGTCGTCGCATTAACTGTCCATATCACTTTATAGTAATAAATTATTATGATTGGCTGCCACGTAATACGCCCGATATATTGCTCAGGCTACTCATAAATGTACGCTAATAAGGATGACTGTACCTACTGCGGTTTATTGCCGATCCGAACAGAGAACTGATGCTATATTATTTCAGGAAAAACTTTTTGATTTCTGTTTGTTATAACTTATAATTTATGCTCCGCCGCTTGTGTAATCAAAGTCACCGCCATGTAACAGATACAAGGATAAGTGTATACTGTATGAACACAACAGAAGAGTTCGTTTCAGTCGAGCGCGTCCCAAGTCGCGGCGACAGAGCGTCGTGTGCCTATGAATTTTTCAGAACATTAGACATATTGTTTGAACTGTAAGCGATTTTGCAACGTTGTTCCGAGGCGTACGTCCGGCGATTAGTCGGCGAGTGCGCAACGCGAGGATGTGCCGGCGGCAAGCGATCGCTGGCCCTTGCGACAGCGCGGATGCCACGAAATTGCACCAGCACAACATTAACCATATACCCACACGGTTTATTAATACGAGTGCAGTTGCAAAATATTGAATATATACGAAGTGTTTTTGTGCGTTAACCTTCAGCTTCGTCGGCCCACTTGCATTAGTTGGCCACGCTCGAGTTGACGCGAGGACGCGCGAAACTCACCCGGCGTCGAGCGCACGCGCTGACGACACATCATGCACTCACTTATCATTGCTGATAACTTTCATTGGGTATGCATCATGCACTATTGATCACCGATCTATAGGTAAACATACCACAAACAATGTGTACTTACTTAACTCCCACCGTGGCTAATTGCTGGCTAATTGTAAATTCTAATTACAGAATTAATCGTCAAGGGGCAAGTGAAAAATGATTGCCAAGCTTCTTTCAGAAGTTCACGTAAACTGTGACTCACCACGCCACACCATGCCAGGGTCCAGCTCTGTGGAGTCCTTAGACCGGGAGCTCGGGTGTAAAAACATAGTTTACCCTGAATCCAGGCTCGCCATACTGTGATACACACGCCGAGCACTTCACTTACGTACGTTTTTGAATATTATTAAAATAACATAAAACTGTGCTGATTAATTGTAAAAATAGGAAATGTACTGAAGGTGCTTTATCGTCAGTTACCGACACTGAACTTTTAGATAGTGCGTGCAAGAACAATGCAAGTGATGAGCAAGAGCGTAGCAACCGAAGACTGGCGCGAGCAGCTTGCGTGCGCGCACCACCTCGTGGTAGGGGCGATTGGACAATCTACTCTTAAACTGTACTTGCTAATACTGCCAGTGATTGATTGTGTATTTAATCAACGCAAATTTTAACTATTTTACATACATACATACATATATACACACAATTATGTTATTTACTACTTTACATACTTAGTAGCAGAATAACTTCATTCGTCGTAAATTACACCTTAGGATTACAACAAGCAATTGCTTGTTTCAGTACAGTCATAGCAATTTTAATGATTCAAGTAATTGAGCCGACAGGGTGGGTCGTGATTTATGGTACACTAAATTAACGTAGGATTCCCAGTCTGACCTTGTTTTTAATCACCTGAAGAGTTTCATTGTACATAGGTAAACGAGCATTAAATACTTGTCATTCTGTATTACGTCATTCAAACTTAAATATTATTTATGATCTTCAGAATTCTCTGTAGTATCAAGGCAGATTTGTTTTAGTTTCCAATGTGTTAATAAATTTCAATACTGGTGAAGCTTCGAACAAACGGTTCAAATAAATTTGTACTGATTGCCTCGAAAATTTAGGGGCGTGATGTTATTACGCACAATGCATATGAAGATGTCGCGTTTGAAATTTGTGGTACAAGGTGCAAGACTGGTTGGTAGACCTCGGCTGAGCTTAAAGAGAGCGGAAAAACTGCGCCAAGGTCGACGTATTGCGCCATACGCCCAGCCGACTGGAAACAGTATGTTCTGATACTTACACATTACTGTAAAACGCTGCTTTTTATAAACGATAGCGTTTTTTAATTATTATTAAACTGTAAGTGTAAGAAACGGTACTTAGCAACGTGACTAGGGTACGTGATCGCAAAAGTAAAAGTCAGTCTGACAGGGTTATATTTTATAAGCGCTAATTGTTTAGTTATCATGGAAACGTGAATAAATTTAAGCAACATACGCCTAATACTATCGATAAATCTTGAAAATATAAACCAAAATATAATTTTATAAGAGAAATGGCCTACAATTCTATATATCATGTTAACACGACTTTCTTGAAAAATGATTTCGAAGTTTCCCCAAAAGCGTCCGCATATAGACTCATATCTATCGTCGCCCATTTCTGAGATATGATGAAATATGCCGTACATCAATTAGTCGTGTAAATTAGTTGTCTAAATGTTTGTGGTGGTGACGAGACCACCCGGGCTAACGACGGCGAGAGGACATCTTGTCTCCTTACTTAATTTATTATTTCAGTGGCCGAGCTCCGCGTTGCAGTCAAAACATCCCGCGCCGATGATTTACAACGCAATAAACACAACGTTTTATATCTAATGGAAATGAGCTTTTATCCGTGAGATTACACAGCCACCCCCGATTGTAAAATTTGATTAATTATCATTTACCGACGTATACCGAAATAGTTGCGCAGTACATGTAAATGAGATGTACCATCGAACCGGTTTGGTTAGTGGACATTTTGTTGTTCATACATTTTCATAGTTCGTTCGATCTAATGAATGACACCTAGAATGAAAATATTGCTGAGATCTTGATTATTACCGTGCTATAATGCTATAATCACCGGTATTGGAAAATAAATATCATGACGATAATTGCACTTTTAAACCTCTATCTACTTTTAAACAAGAATTTATTATAGTAGTGGAGAAAAAACTCATGTTTACATACATTTCGTAATTACATTTTAAATTTCTGATCTATATATACTAGTTATATAATTCAGCTTAATATATATGGCTGGGATTAGATTTATATGCTGATTAACAAGTCGATGTGAAGCGAGGCGTATTTCCACATTGTTAGTAGACTTTTACTGTTCTGCCGTGTCCAAACAAATTAAATTATAGTTGTAATCGTAATACTGACTGGTTTTACGGTGTAAAATATATTATATACATGAAAATTGGCAATACGTTGGTTTTGCTTTTACAGTGAAACTACTGGAGTGGAGACTGTCTTCAGTAGATCGGGTGCTGTTTAAAATTATGAGGCACTACTGCATATTTTGACAATAATAGAAATTACAATACAACTTTTAGTAAGAACAAATACGTAACACATCGCATTACCCCACACTGCTAGAATTGTTACTAGATTTTCAACCATATTATAAGCCCATAAAGTCTATTGAAGGAAAACAGTTTGAGGGTACCTTGATGCGCATGAGTCAGCATCTGCATATGCAAGTAAGCGTTCGTAAAAATACTTATCATAAGTGCACGATAGCTCCATTATACATCAGTCGGGGTTCGAACTCACGTAATTGTTGGGCTATCGGCTGCATGTAATGAGCCTCACTTTACTTCACTTAATAGCACTCTTATCAACAGTAGTTCGTATATTGTTAGTGGTTTGTTTCTACTGCTGAAGTAAGCTACCGTTACTCGGTGAAAAATTAAAAATCAACTTTATTCTTATGTATGTTGAGGTGTAATTTAAATGTTACGTATTTCAGGGCTTAACTGGCAACTTAGGTACATACTACAATGATTTAGAAATAATATTTGATAAGATTTCGAACCGTTAAGAAATTATAAAAAAAAACTGAACCGTTTAATGTTCTGCTAGTAGCTCACTGCCGTCCCTCTTTAAGCAACCATAAGCGTAATGGATACATAATTATCATGAATATAAAAACACACAAACCAAGGAAAGTTTCAATTTTACAAACAATAAGGTATTAATAAAGATAATTACTATGCACGTAGCGCTACGCCGTAGCAAATCGTAGACCTCTCGTAGACAAGCTGTGCTCTATGCTACGCTTCATTTAGCATCGCTTTTATCTTTTAATCTTTGTAACTAGTTTGACTCTTTAAGATGTTTTATAGTGAGAAAATTTACTGTCTTGTTTACCTACATAACTATATTACTAGATTCTAGTACGCTCTTACCTTGGGCTGCCAAAATTTTATTGTTATCTTAGTTCGTCAATGTCGATAAGGGTAATAATCCTGTGACAAAATATGTACTTACCGGTATTGTTGTTGTTGTTGTAGTGGTGTGCTGGAGGCGGAATATTGTACTCTGGGAGCTCCGGCAGACAAACGTTGCTCTCGTACATGTTCGGCGGTACGTTGGCTAGCAACGATCGCTCCTTCTCCACATCTAAAGGGACAGACAGATGGATTCAGCTGCGATGGTGATGTCATATTTTATCAGTAAAAATCTGATTACATTTAGTTTATAAAAATGTTATTGACGATAGGGTAGTTGTCTCAGTTAATTTGATTTTATTTATCTTCAAAGTGGTTTATTGCGATCAACTGAAAATCGAGCTTAGTTACATGTTATTGAAGAGATCTAAGTATGTAGTTTTAAAATATGAGATGGAATCGGGTTGAAGATGATAATAGGATATATAAAGTTTTCTTAGATCAATAAGTACGTACCTTTTTGTAATATCTCGAGATGTTCCCAAAGGATGTCTCCCATGAAAGCGGGTGCGCGTGCGACGAACTCCTCGCGTCCCATGGCGCAGATATCCTTGCCTTGTGTGCGGGCAAACTGTTGCAGGGCCACGCCTTCCAGGGAGAACTCCCGCGCTGCCCATCGCAGCCACGCTGCCACCGCCGCCTCGTTCCATTGGCGAGGGTCTGTTGAATAAATTAGGTTAAGTGAAAGAATAACTAAAAGACATAAAAACATGCATATAACAATTAGTTTTGCTAATATCTATTATATATTTTTATTTCTAAACAGGGGCACATTGCTACACAATGAGCACAATTTCAGTTGTCGTGCTATCACTGAGAATTTTTCTAAAACTGATTTGCTCCATATTAGTTACTTTTCCCGATGCGGGAGTATAAATCGATAACTATTGCTGATTAGTCGCGCAAGTGATCAACAACGCAATTGATTGTAGACTAAAATAATTTAATAACTTTATAGTTTTGTTGTGATATCCTAGTCTCTTATAATATAACATGTTTTGTAATTCTTGCATCAAGGTTTAAACAAATTACAAAACAAACTGCATTGCAATTAAAGCAAGCGATATCTCTACATCCAATTATGATCATTCATTGTTTCGAGATGTACTTCGATAGGGCTGGCATATGAAATCAGACCGTCAGTCGTTCTGATTGGTGCTTGCTATCAAGTAGTAAAGTGCACAATTGTAGCCGGATGGCTGTTAGGGCTGCAACATCAACAATTAGCGAGGCAGCGGACCGACTTGTTGCTCAACAACGGAACTTGCCACATGCTCGCCGGAAGCGACCCGACCTTGACGCCAAAATATATGCACCGAGTAACCGATTGTCTTTATAACAGTGATAAACGATTTCTAATTACTTACTTCTATTTCAGTGCATATTGGGACGAATGAATTGTATTTGGAGTAAAAATTATGAAAACATTTTAAGGACGAATGTAACGTCATTCGAATATTGGTTCACGAGGTATGCATTTATCAAAGATCAATGAAATTGATATACAAAATATCATGTTTATACGCATAGCTATTTAAGTTTTGCATGGATTATTTAATTAGCGTCCCCTTTTGATTATTTTCTAAACACTTATACATTTTCCTAAAGTTAAATAACCGTGTGTTCTACAGTGAAAACACAGTACGATTGCAAAGTTTAAATAAAAGAAAGTTTTAGATGGAAAAATGGGCCAACACAACGCCAGACGCCTCCGAAGGAAGATCGATCAATTTAATCAGTGGTCGCCATTAAAGATTTTCTAATCGTTCCTAGGTAGGTTAACTACAAGAAAAAGCCAATCGATACAAATGGAGTTATGTGTTACGATGTTATAAACTGCTTTTACACTCGGAACCTTAGTTTTTCCCTAGCAAGCGGGAGAGTCTAATAATAAATAATTAGTTTAATTACAGCTTTTAGTCAGTTGCTGTCGGGACACGACGTTTAATGTTTATGTCGACGTGTGACCACGAGAACTGCGGACAACGGTATCAGATCATAACTGTAAAGCGATTCAACACGACAATATCAAAGGGAAATGACGTGCTTGCTCGTGTTACAATCAAATCAGAGATGAAAATGTGAAAAGTATCGAGTTTATTGCACGTAAAAATTAGGTGTTTTAAGTTTTATTGTAAGTTTTTATGTAATAATATGTCTTTGATCTTAAAATAAATAAATAAGTAGTTCCTTCAGTCCGTGATTTGTTTTCTTTCAACATAATGTTTATTTAATAAATAAAGTCGACGAGCTCACTCTCATTAATTGAAGCCCACAGGTGGAACAAAGTCAGTACATACAATATGTATGTTAATAGAGTGATTTTATTAACAGTTGATGGTAAGATAACGCTGTCTCTCTGACTACAGAACGTCTTTGTGAGCGCTGGGATTCATTTTATTAAATCTAAAGATCTCAATACAGATTACACATTGGCTCTTAAACTACAATGAACGAACTTAAAATGTATTTTTCATTCCATTGCGTAGATTGATTACGGTTCAGTAGTTTTTTTTTATGGAAATAGTGCAATGGATGTCGTACATTTTATTTTGTTTTTAGTTTAGTAGTGGGTTATCAAATGTTTGTTAATGCTATGCCAGTAGACGTTTACGATAATTGTGTATTTTTTTTATTTTAAAACAATGGTTAGTAAATTTTGTTAATATATTTTACATGTTACTTAAACAAAGCTTTATTATCTACTTAAGTTTTATTTATTGAGTGCATGAGATATGGTGTGGTGAGGTTTCATCTAAATACTTCTAATAAATGAACGATATGTAATAAAGTGAACTGCAACCTTATTGCTACAAAAATAAGGTTCCATTTACACTTTCCTTTCAATACCATCATTGCAATATTATTGAGTGAAATTGTACGAAAGTAACTTTCAAGCAATTTTCGCCCTTATTGAAACGAGTTTAATTAGAACAAGAACGTTATTCCGATGCTACTAGTAACTCCAGTAGTTATCTGTGTTCTGTGTTACAAACTAAGATAACATCTTACCGTTATCTAAATTAATATAAACAGGAATAAAGTACATGACATTGTCTATAAAACTTTAATTTTGCTTTGGAATTCGTCTCACTCTTACTTTTGTAATTTTAAGTTTGTGTGATAGAGACAAGAATAATTGCTCGGCTAAAGTTTAATAAATACGCTTTTGAGAAAAGTCGATGTGGTGAGTTGGGAAACCTACAAGGAGTTAATTTTCAAAATATAATTATTATGCTGAAAAACCCACCTTATCGCTAGGTGCTGAAGGTACACAATTCAAAAAAGCTGGACTGTAAAAGTTATAGAATTATGAAAACGTATGTTTGCCAGATCTGCATGAACTATTAGGTAACCCATATTAACCAAAATTGTATCTGTTTATTTAATATTTAGACCTTTACAAAGTACATTTAAGGTTCATTTTCATTGCAAATATTGTAAAACATTCAACTTCCATTGAAATTACACTGAAGTGTTATCAAATTGGGTTTTATGAGTGAATTTATTACGTGGAACAATTAAGGAATCAAGTCGTTGATGACACGTGTACGTGTGACGCACACTAACATGGTCCTTTGATAACAACATGTACCTATCTATAATGAGTACATTTTCATTGATGCGATTATATCCTTTAAACCCATGGTCATTTAAGAACTCTTTTGGCATGTATTGAGAGCTCAATTAAAGCGAAGATTATGTTAAAATTAGTCCTTGATCCAATATCCACTTTGCAGACAAAAGACGACACATTGAACAGCAAAATATCGTGTCTTTTGATAAAAAATGTTTTGCTTGTTTCGGGGAATCGAACCAGAGATCTTTTACTAGAACTTTTCCATTGACTAGTTATTCATTGATAAAATATAATAATGATAAAAAGATTTAGCAATGCGTTATTCACATCCTGCGCGTGATTTCGTGTTAGATGCGCGCGGGCACACCGGAAGCGCGAATAGACGCCGCGCAGACGCACGCACTTCCGCCGCGCTAGGGCATCGAACCCGCCACCTGTCCAGTGTATGATCCTAGGCAAATATCAATACGTTTAACACAGTGAATAATTCGCAGGAGGAATTTAAAGCTAATTGATAGGTGTCATTGATATTACAAGTTCTAAGGAGTTCTCATTTCCATGTAAATGTATGTTATACAGTGTGTTACTATTTGGAATTTAAGTTAAACTTTTGTTTTATTGTGATTTTTTTGAATAACCATTTCAGTTAAGCGTTAACATCTTGTTCTAGTAATCTTCATGCATTTGCAAGTCCTTAAGATCACTTCATTTTCCCATGAAGATAAAACGACGGTATCGGTGGTATTTGGTAGTTCTTGTCATTTGTATTAGAGCGTTTCTCGCCTTTTCTTACCAATTTCTTCTACTGTCTACCAATTTGAGATAACAGCTATAAAGTGAACAGTTTGTCAGTCACCACCATAAAGGTGGGGGGTGTATATCGCAGGCGGTCGCGACACGGCGACGCGTCCGCCACATTACCATATGCAAATGCTACCTTGTATTTATACGCTTTGTCGACTGTACGCTAACAGTTTTTGCTTGTAACCAGTACATACTTAAATATTGAACAAGGGAAAAACAAGACAGCTATCAGAACATTCTTACGCGCTAATGACGTCACTTTAGCATCGGCATCACAAAAAGTGTTGCGATTATTTGTCGCGCTCGTACTAACATGCCTGTAGACCACACCACACGATCGATTTACACCTTAATGATTTCAAGCCTCATCATTACAAGTTTCAAGTGTACTCCGACTACAACTTGCGATACAGTAACAGATATTAATCATGATTTTATTAGCTTACTTTGTAGCAGGTGCATAATATTAAAATGGACCGATCGCATTAAAAATAACATGCGTTGATTTTTTCCTTCATCTCTCAGATCTTCGACGACTGAAGTCTAAAATTAATATTTACGTGGTTTTATTGCCTTTTCTTCCTGACCATAAAGTGCTATTGCTCGATCCCAAATGAACTGACAGCGTTTACATTACTGTGTAATAAACCATAACTTGGAAATTTCTTATTCCCCGACTGAACAAATGTCTTTGTCTGATATTGTCTAAGCATTTACTGAACGTTAAACAGTAGTTATGAACGTATTTTATGACTCAACCGCCTTCCAATGCTAACTTCAATTGTCTAGGAACAGAAGCTAATGATTACCTTTATACTTGAAAATTAGCGATAGTATTACTGTGTGTAGGTAACACTGAGTTTGAATGTCAAAGTAAATATCGTGTAAATTGTAGTTTTCTTATCTTTGTGAATTAGAACTTTTAAGACATATTACGTATTAAAAACTAACTTGAATGAGGTAATTTTATGCAGTGTATCAAAAAAGGTACCTATACATTATTTTAAGAAGTAGCTGTAAAATGTTCAGTATTTCTTCTTGATCTCTGATAGGTGAATACTCAACTAGGAATCCAAAAATAAAGTTACGATCACTTACATTAGTTCGTAAGTAAAAGGTTCTTACCTTTGGGTACGCCGAGGCGCAGTTGCTCCTTCTCCCAGGAGGCGAAGGTAGCCTTCAGCGCCTCGGCCATTTTCTTGTTGGTGCCTGGCGTCAATGGCGGCACCTGTGACGGGATGTCTGTAACAAAAAATGGAACTAAATTTAAAATCGGTCGCATTTTAAAAACTTTACACGTCTTTCAATCAAGTCAATTTTCGCAAAAACCTAAATGAAAATCGAAGTCATTTTCTGTCGATTAGAAAACGAAACCAATTCGAGGTACCCAAGAACATCCAACCAATCAGACTTACTTATTCTGATTTTCTTTCATAACCGCATTAGAGAAGCCATTTATTATTTTAATATGCTCCTTATAATCAGGTTCGTTCATATGCATGGGCTAGATATGATCTGTTTGCAATGAGTTATTCATAAGCATTCATAAGCCTCAGGGTTATTTTAAACCATATCCATATAGATTAACGCCATAGTTTCACCGTATACTTTATACGGGAAGTCTTCAACATGGGACTGAGTTCAAGCTCTTGTCAACCGAGATCGTTATCATTCGGATTAATTACTTTATCTACGACATTAATACTGTGCATCGAAGAACAAATTAATAGCCAACTTTTTGAAACTTGATGGTTTCGAATAAAATAAATCAGAGATAAACAAGCAAGATTGAATTTGATGTGTCTGTGTGCGTTCGTGTCGGTGTGTGGTTCTTGTGCAGGTTTGTAGGCTTCATTCATAAGTGCGCCTGGTTTGTGGCGTCGGTGTGCGTGGTGTTGTTGCTGTGTGAGTGCTGCGCGCGCGCACCTGCCGACCAGTTCTGAGATGCGGAGATTTGTGCACCTCTCCCACGGTCGGTGCCCGCTCGGCCTCTGATCTGCTCTAGCTGAACCTCGCTCTGATATAATTTAAATTTTTCTCTGTGTTCGTCGTTTTTAGTTTCAATTAGAGCCAGAGCATTCTGTGTTCCAATCACAATTAAGTAGCATAAAGCTGGAAACGCTTTGATGTTGTGTGAATGCGGTATCTGTTTCTATACTGTCATGTTTTAATGTCTGTAAATGAGTTGGATGAAATATTCCTTATGAAGAATTCTCAGATCTAAGGAACATGTTGTAAAGCTTTTGGATTTAATGTTCATTACTTAATTTTCTTGTGACAAGTAGCTACGAAAATGACTTTGTTGACAGAAGTTAAGCGACGATATCAACTATAGAAAATATTAGTGTGGTGTATTTACCACCTTATTTATTTATTTTCCCATTGTCTGCTGCACGTAGCAGTGCGCCAGTGCAAGGTGGCCGGAGTCCCGGCGGTTGCGAATCACGCCTGCATTAATTGCAGCCACTCTCGCGCAATGTGATTTACTCGCACTATATATCTCGCGCAGCTGCACTTGACTCACGATTATTGCGTACACGCATCTTTTTACACTAACACTCTTACAAGCTTCGTTCCAAGTGCATGCTTTGATTGCATTGTTAGTACGATCTCGATATATTTTTACTTCTTCATAAACTAAAATAAAACTTCTTTTTTTCTGACCTTTTACTAAACCGCGGCTTTTTTGCGATGTAAATATTTTTTTATTATTACACAATACACATCATGTAAATAGACGTTTCTCGTCATTACAGTGCTAGGAATGTTTGTGGAAAGGTTTCACGTAGGTTTGTTTTTGAAATTACTTAAAAACATCTCATTGCGTTGTTAACGATTTTATGTACTTCAGTATATTGATGGCTAGCTTAATTGAGGTATTTAGAATTCATCCCTTTACACGCAATGTGCATTATACAATGCGCTTTTTATGTTCATTGTAGTGCCGATAGTTTGTAATGAGTGAGTATTGAATGTATAGCATTTATTCAAACACCTGCTTGCGCGATTTATCCATACCAATAAAGTTACTTATTGTAAGACTCCATGCTAACGAGCCTCCGGGGCCACGTCGAAGAAAAGATATCGCCCAATTCAAACATCTCAATGAAAATCAAAAAAATATTCATAAAGATCAAACCATTCCCAAGTAATTAATGATGTTACTCATATTTTCACATCAAACAGCTCGGTAAATAAAAATACATAATATTAAAACTTATGTTCTTTAAAATTATTTTAAAAGTAATAGAGGAGTGCTGTCGTGAAAGTGTTTTAACCGAAATACTTGCACCGCCTCCGTGGTCGTTAACTCTAGTGTTGGGAGGGCACCAAAATGTTTTTTTAAAGATGAAAAGAACATTAATTCTCTTTGACTGTTATAAAGCTTGCAGAATGTGCGTGTCACACACGCTAGTAAAATTCTCAGTGGGATATTTTAAAGAAATTATTTGATAACAAGTACTTACTAATTTGATGTTCTGGTGAAATATGTTCGAAATAAACTTTTATTTTTTATGACATTTAACTCTGGAACAGTTTAAATACGAGCACGACTTTATTTATCGACAAGACTGATGCACCGGTGTATTGCTGTATTCCTTTAATGACTTAAATTAAACTGATTGCAATTATCTGTGGCTACTTGATGTAAGAAGGTGGTGGCACGAATAACAGTCATGCTCGACATTAAGATCTTGAATGGAATTTTGGATGGACAAAAACTACGATGGCAAGACTTCCGTTTCCGTAATTAAAGTAATTAATCCGGAGTGATTTCGGTTTAATTGTCGAGTAGTTTCCGATGAGCCTCATCCGTTGTGTGATATTGTTACTGATAGGTTTTAAGAACGCTCAACTGTTTTGGGACAGTTTTTGATAAACTCTCGTGATTTTATGTTCATATTAACTGTGAATGTAATAGAAGTCACAGCTACAAGCTATAACATTTTTAATTCCACATCAAACTCGCTATATCTACTTAGGACCTTTTCTAAACAACCATCTAAAAATAGATGCCAGTTAGCGAACAATCTTTCAAGTCATGGAGGCCTTAACATGTCGAATGTTCTTAGTACAGTGGTGAAGAGAATTGTGAATGGCGTAGATAAGTGCACAAAGCACCGGAGATGCGCCGTGTGGCTCAGCCGTGGCCGACCGTCGAGGACGATCCACAACCTTCGGACTTTCGGCTACCACAGGCTATATTTGGTAATACTACCATTGTTTTTCAATTAACGAAATTAGAAAATGTTTTTAAATTTAAAAATAGACCATTCTTTTCGAGGCCTACTTGTGTCATTTGTTGTTTTTTTTACATTGTAAATTTTTTTATGGCCTGTTTAGTTTTTTTATTTACAAGTTTGCAACTATATTATTATAACCTTTTTTCTAATGCTGCTTAGGACAATAAAGATATAAAAATGTTATTTAATTTAGTCGCGTTAATGCAAGTTTAAGTGTTGTTTTTGTACTTACTTAATTATGTTTCTTTATAAAAAATTGCGTGTCACACAACATTGTATAGAATATATTGCGATTAAAATTGTAGTGTGAGCCCATCTTTCATAGTAAAAAATTAAAAAGTCAATAGTTGCCATTTTGAAAACTTAATTGTATATTGTACGTTTTGACATGCGACAATGTATTCTATGTATTGAGAAGGTGTCGACGTAATTAAGTTAATATGTACTACGGATATTTACACTTTAGTTGATAATTAAAAGCGCTGAGAATTATTTCAACTGTAAAATAATAGGAAAAGAATGCGCTTTCTTTTGCTCATCCTTCGAAACTTTAATTCCATTTCACGGCATAAAGAAATGTATAGATAGCGGACAGCGGTGCACATGCGTACATCAGCGAAACAATGCATGCAACAGGCTACGTTTCTTTATCCAACACATTTCACATTATGCTAATGTTCGATGGTTGCACGGGAACAGGTGGCGAACGAGGGTTGCAAGGGGGAACCTAACCGACACTTGTTGCGTCCACCCATTGTATGGACAGCAGCAAACAAATGTATCTAGTTAATGACTTCATTATACCCGGCTAGACCAAACGACAATTGGTTCCAGGTAATCTAAACATAGTCGTTTATATCAAAGTGATCGTACCCTTTAACTTCATCGAAAATTACGCTTTTGCAATCGTTGTTTGTATCCAATACCATTTATTTTGTCTTTCAATTCACATCTTCGTTAGTATTCGACCTATTTTGTTAGAGGAAAAGTGATAGAATGCTACATGAATATGTTATGTGCATCTTCATAATGAACCAACTTCTAGCCCGGCGGCCACCACAATAGCCCGCCAGAACAAAAGCTCGCGCCATTTTTACCGAACCCATTGTTCACCGTTTGAACTTGGAACGTCGCGTGACGTAAACGGCGCGTGCGCTGTTTCGCATTCAAATCGCCTTCTTTTTGCTTATAATTATACTAAATATCATTGCAAAACGATCATTCTTGCTAAAAGCTACGATTAAAGTAATTCTTTGTATAAATACCTTATTTGTGACTTCAAAAGTCAATTTTAAATTCCTTTTTTACTGTAAATAACCCTTTTGTTAAGTTTTTTTTATGAACAGTGTTCAATATCATTGCTATTTATTGTCACTCATTAAGCTTGAGTATACGACACGTTGTTACCGTGTGAAGCTAGTAATTCGAGGCAAGTATGTAGTTTGAAAAATTGTTCATTTGCTTACCGATGTCACCCTTCCACTCGTTCAACCGTGGAGGAGGGTTATGCCATAATGCGGTAAAATTGTTATTGTTCAAACGGTTCCCTGCTCACTGACGCAGAAAATGAACGTTTTGCGTATGAGTTGTACATTTATTTAATACATTAAAATTCGTTATGCTAGCCAACCGTTGCTCTACTTTTGTTGTAAGATAACTGCAGTCCTGTAGGCCCTCTATCTAATGAACAGTGTGAGGCAGACGTTACAAGTTCATTACATTGTCGTAACACGCGTTTGTTATAAAACTCCTAGAACGATATCTGAAGTCCTCATCGTTGTTGCCTGCCGAGGTGGAGAATCTAACAATGCTCACTTATCTTTCAGTGATCTGTGGCTGCGTTGATCACGAACGTAGGCGATGGACCTTTGCTCAATGACAGAGGCGGCGCGGTCGGCCGCTGCGCGCGCGCATCATCTCATTGAGCGCGCACCGGATGGGCCAATCAGCGGCGTGAATGGACGCCCCCGCGTTGCGCTGCTGCTGCTCCGCGTTATTAGCTCCCGTACTAGATGCCACTGTTTCTTTGTTATGTCCGTAAATTGTTATGACTTTTTATGGCCGAAAGAATGTGTTGAGTCGTAAATCCGTTGTTTGCCTCATTGATAGTGCTATTGTTCGTCGCATGAGAAAACGTGCATCCTCAGCTACTGGATTTGGACCGGTTACATAGTTCAGCTTGTTAGCTCGGAGGTGACATGTCCGCTCGGACACCGCGGCGCGAGTTGCTGAGATGCGCGAGTTTACGTAATGTTCGGACGGAAGCAGGGTGGTCATCATTTCAGTTTATGACTCTTAATTATACATTTAGATTTTCTTATTCAATTATTTGTTTGATTAGATGTTTAAGAGACTCCGAGTATTAAGAGGATGTTGGTTAATAAGATGCATTTCTTGGTGTGTATGTAAAGCAGTAGCAATAGACAAGGCACATTAACCGCAGTCATATGTCGGGGTCGATTAACAAGCCAGTTTGTATACAAACATTGTTTCCAGTTCTCAGGTTATGAGCACGCAAGGTCTTTACTTTCAAGATCAGCAGAGCATACGAGGAGCTAGTCATAATTACGGTAATGGCCGGCCGAGTGTTGCTCAAGAGTGCGGCTCTGCCCTAGCGAGGAGCGGAGCCGGACACGCTATGTTTCAAAATACAGTGATATTAAAGGAAATTGAGTTGCGATATGATGCGCTGTTCGATGTCGAGTCCTTCAGACGTTTGTCGTCAATAAATCAAGTTTGTGAAACTGTACAATCAAGATGACCGAGGTTTATTCATACATTGTCATTTGCATGTCAAAATATCATGTCGCATAGGTTTAAAGAGGGGAAATATTTTTGGTTTGGTATCTACGACTAAAAATCCACATGTGTATGACATGAAGATTGTACCCATGTTGTTGCAATTATTTCGTAATTTACAGTTCGTATTGTCTAACATTTTTGTAAACTTAATAGTGCCATAGGTAATAATTTAGAAAATGAACGTTTTCATATTTTTCTTTCGGTCACGGTGCGTTCACATTCGGGACAAGTGCACGCGAAACCGAGAGCGTTGCGCGGTTGCGTCACCAACGCGAAGCGAGGAACATACGTCGCCATTTTTATAACGATTCCTTCGACGATCCATATTTGAAATTCGAATGCTATTTTAGAATATAATTTGATACAGTGATAAGATTGTGTAGAAGGGAAATGGTATTTGGTAAACATTGTTATAAGCAGTTGCGAATTTATCTTAAATTCGTTTTAAGGATCTTACCTTTTGGCTTATTGAAAGCTTTCATCATGACTTTGATTCCCATGCCTGCGATGGCCGCCGTCGCCTTGATGAGTGGTCTGCTGAGGGCTCTCGAAGTTCGTATCACAACCCGCCAGCAGGCCGATGTTTTTAATAGTTCTTTTCACTTATATTTATATTTACAACGACTTTAATTACACTATTTACTAAACAATTAAATAAGATCAATAAATATCACACTGTTTCCGTTTGAGTTCAGTTTTTATTATCAGTCTAAACACTCTTCACTATTTTTCATTTTGGCGATTTTCCTATTGTCACGTGGCGGGGAAGAAGTTCATACTTTTTGTATCACTGTTCATTGTTTTGTGACTTCATATAACAGCACCTGTTTGTAAAGACATATCGTTTGTAATTTTGTACTTGACTCCTATTTCTGACGTATAAGATGAATACGTATCCGCTTGCAAAGATATTACATTAAAACAACGTTATTTTTATTAACAGTAATAGCTATAAATATTGTTGAGCGGCGTGGGTAATTAAGAGATAGACGATAACGCGATTCTATGATAATTGTTAAAAGTACCAGGGTATTAGTGTATTGCATGAGGTGGTAAACAAATAGTGGCAAACATTCCCACAGGTGTGCGGAACGATCCGATGCAGGCGCTTCCGGCCCGGTACCCCACTTACCCCGAGTGTTCCCACCCTCGCACCACCCCGCCGCGTGTTACCCCGCGACCGCGGCGGGTAGTTCTCACGCAAACCACTACCCGAGACTGATCATTTTGCTAACTTAATGTCCCACTCAATTTACTAACACCGTTAAGAAAGTTAGCACATATTCGCTCTACGCAAATACTCGGAGTTAAGGCTATTGCAAGTTACGAACTGCTATGAATTCAATTTAAGTAATAGCATCAAGTTTTATTTTATTAAACAAATATCTATTATCATTAATTTTAGTAAGTATGTTTTCAACTCAAAGAGCTATGTTTAAGTTTCTTAAAAAAACACGATGTTCGTTTATGGTCAACCTGTTCAACATGTAGTGAACATTCGGTGGTTGTAATGAACCATAATTGTCTATGCTTATTTCGTTGTGCGTGACCACGACGTGGGTACAATTACAATAATGTTAACTATGAGAGCTGTAACGGAAAACTACAGTTTTTAACAACACTTTCTAATAACAAATATGATTATAAAATTAAGTTCGTGTTCAGTATTGTTTGAATATTCAACAAATAATAATTGAATATCTATCTACTTAAATCATGTGGGTGTCGAACTTAATTTAATCATGGTGTTGCTAGATAATAATCCAATGTTTATCTTCTTAAAATTCATAGTCATACTCAAAACCATTTTTTAATAAACGATAGTATGAATTGATAAAATTGATAGATATGGTACTAGGGACCCCATTGTAGGGCTAAGGGTTAATAAGTGCATGTAAACATCTTCATTTGGCTTTATTAAAAATGTTCCATGTAAAAGGGGTGGCAATCGGTTAGTTGTTATTAAAAATATTGTTCGACAAGTGATTAATGGTAATATGTTTGTAAGACGCTTTTCAATGTGTTTTTATTGGACTTTAGTTCACACGGTAATAGAGGAAATATATTTTTTTAAAGTTGGAGCTTATCTTTTGGTACTAATTTGTTTTTTGTTTACAGATTACAGAGATATATAACTGCCATTATTGAATATTATTTGGAGATATTTTTCTCACGATTTTGTGTTTGAAATATATATAAATGTTGCTTGTATGTTATGGTACAATATAGCTACACTACCAATTGACATAGTATTAGTCAATCTACCATACTTTAGACATGATGGGGGCGACGAATTGTCTCTAATCAAAATCACATTTAGTAGCATAACTGTCATATTATTGGTCGTACATTATATTGGACAAATGACGCGCTCTGAGATAATAAAACTTGAATACGATGTTTGAAGGGCCATCAAAAAGTTTTAAAAATGTATTTACTGTTGTCTTTATTAATTGACGTAGTGTGGTTTTCCAATGTGATGAAGTCATAATAATAAATTCTTACAGATTGTTGTTACTTTTAAATATGGTCTACTTTTTTTCAAATTTTGTCGAAATCCAAACAGTTATTCTCGCGTGTGGATCGAATAAAATTTTCCCAACTTTTGCGATTAGAACGAGCATAAAATTATCTATATTAGAATGGATCTTTCCATGGCAAACATTTGAAGAAGACAAGTATCAAACTGCAATTCTCAAGTAATCACTCAACTAAATTGTATAATACACCTATTACAATCGCTTGCAGTCCAGATTAAGTCCAGAGGGCATAAAGCGGGAGAGTTTCTATTGACGTTTGAACCTCCTTTGTGGCTTAAGTAGCAGCATTCAATGAGTCTAGTTGACTCGACCAATATTGGAGGACAATAGTCAAATAACGTGCGGTATGGCGGCAGCTCACAACGGATCGTAAAGCGAAAATTATGTTTAATAGAGGTCACTCCAGTTGAACGTCTGTTGACTCCGTGATCTTTGAATGTTTTGAAGGATAATCATGACTGATTGCTTTTGTATGATTTGGGTTTCGACTGACAATTTATTGTGAAAAGTAAAGTAAATTAGATATAGTATTTCATTAAAGTATTTCGTTTTATGAATTAAAAATTTAAGATCTAATATAAAAGTAGACTGAAATATCATTTGATAGAGAAAACCCCATAATTAGTTAATAACTTAGAATGTTGAACTATAGATAGAAATTCGTTATTTTGTAAAACTATAAAAAACACTATAGTAAGAAAAAATACAATGTTAATACTAAGTAACAAATCGTTCGGAATGAAGACAAACGATGGAGTCATTCGCAAGACGGTCCTTCTAATTGTCTGTAACCCTTTTATAATCTGTGCGATACAATTGAGTGCGTTAGATAGCTTCGTATCTATTACAGGGCGGTTAGTGCGTGTCTGTGCGGTTAATCGTGTGGTGTGAGCACAGATTGGCCGGGGCTCGGGTCAACTAACTCGATTGACGCGCCCAATTTGTCACCCCACGCCTCAATGACACCGACCGCATTACATTTGTCTCTTATGCGTTACTAGATTACATTTTGATCACGTTCTCTAGCATTAGGTTCCCTTTGTTTATTGTGATGCTACATACAACACAGTCCTTTTGTCAAATGTTTGCCACTCACTGCTGATAAATGAGGATAATTGGTTGTTTTTGCGGTTTATAGTTCACACTTCGTTTCGGACAGGGTGTCACATATATATGTACCTGTATGATAACAGTGTTAAATAACAAAAATTTTAATGCGTGGGTGCAGTAGTCGGTGACAATAACCTACATATGTAGGTGCTAATATGTGCACGGTAGCAAATTTCGCGCGACACTAATTGATGGCTCTCGTGTAGCGTATTCATAAAGCAAACATGTATTATTTAAACGGTAGGTGCGTATCGTAGTGCGGCATGAACCCGCGGTCAATTGGGGTCGCATCTTCGACCCCATCTTAATAGGAAAGTGGACACCCGCATATCTGGACCGATGAAGCAGACACTAATTCTGTTGTAGATTTTAATATTTCTAAATTAAGTGGATTTACGATAACTGCGGGAGACGAATATAACGGTTGCATTGAGTACCCGCTAGTACTCGGTTTTTTGTTACGACCGAAAAGACATTAGCTGTTGCATTATTGAAATAAAGCAGGGTTTTATGGCTTTCTTGACATAAATGAGGCAAAGGAATTCATTTATTCAACCACTTGCTACATTGTGATGCGTTCGAGAACTGGTTTGTTCCCGTGGCGCGTATCAATGCATGTTTTGATTTCGGCCAAAGTATTCGCGAGATTTTGCACGGTTTTGCACGGATTGCGCGCGCATCAACAAACATGGCGACAATGGATGCTTCGGCGAATCGAGTGACGCGGGACGCACGATTCAAATGTGGAACAATGCGAGCTTGTATAACAAGAGCTAACAATTCGGCGGGTTGTTTATGTGAACAATAGCAATAGATTGTGCAGTTTGTGCGCAAGCAAGCGAGCTTTTATACTTTGTTTAGTGTTGCCACATTATAATGATTGTAACAATGTTAGTGTGGCTTGAGTCAATATTAGCATGCGATCAGCGTAAATTCTTTCAGTTTATGCAATGTTGTTGAAATTGTAAATTGTGTTAGGCTCGACATGTATTGGTTTGTTCTGAGTGTGAGTGGCTCGGTGTCGAGGTTGGGTCACGCGGGCGCAAGTGATTTGACCTCCGACCATTCAATTAAAACGTTATTACGGGCTGACGCTCGCTCTGCTCCGGCTCATATTGTATCACTTTGGTTCGGACAAACGTATTTGTCTTATTCACGAGCTAGACCAAATAACTGTTATTTATTGATTCAACTACTTAATGAGGATGATTCAGTTATTTGGGTGAATTATCTGAAATTTCAATGAACGTTCATTCGACTTTGTGTTTAGCTTAAATAGGAATACGAAAACAAACATGATTATTTTAGTTTTAAACCTTTGATTAGAGTAGGAATTATTTGTTAATCTTGGTAAGTTAGAGAGGTACGTTAGTACTGTGTGTCGCGGTTCTAGACAGACACACTAGTATGCCACGTAGACTGAATGTGACTTGTTGCTCAATTCGACGAAAAAACTATGAACGACTTATCCTTATTTGGATGCGTTTAAAAAAACCAATAAGTAGGTACCAGACATAACTGCACAGTCCACGCAGATATCTGATACCTGATAAGGGTGTTTGCTCATTTAGAAATCTACATAGCAATTAAGGTAAAATTCATTGCAGCCACTTACTGTGAATGTGTTGCGAAATATGAAATTAGAGCCCAGTTGCAAAGAGACGGACTGTCTGTCGACAAATTAACGTCAGATTCGAAAGGAATGATTCTAAGCTTTGGAATTTGGCAGCACAGTCGTAAGTGAGACAGAAATTTTCCGGCACCTGGCTAATTATCGAGAAAAAATATAATTGTAGAACGACTGTCATAAAATAGATATGGTTTGGGCGACATTCTGGCGTGGGTGTCTTAGAGATAGAGTCGGGCGTGTAGATGTGAGGCGTGGGGTCGTGGGGCGGGCTCCGAGGCGATTGGCGAACGCCTCCCAACGCCCACGCACGCGCCGCGCACCCGCGAGAAAAATCTTCGCGAGGAAAACTCCACGAGTTCCATATTCCTAATGTTTGTTTACAACACGTGGGCGGCATAATAGTCGTTCGATGACTGGACTCAACAAAATGGCGACCGCGGTTTATGAAGAGATTATTGGTCAACGTTAAATACATCTTTATGACAAACAACAGGATGCAATGAAAACACCCGAGTAATAGGCTAGCGAACTAAATAAATTAGCACTAAATACATTTTAGAGCTTAGACGACTAGATAAACGGACGTTATTTTTGTTACCAAAAAATACTCGAAGCCAGCCATGTTGAAACATAAAAAGCAAAAGTGTGTCATCGTAAATTCAATGTAATTTAAAACACAACACAACTTGGGCACAATTAACTTTTAGGTACGCAATAAAAATTCAAATTACAATCGCGAACTCATCGTTTAGGAGAATAAATATAAATGCGTTAATTAGACATTCAAATGGATGCATTTTGAGTACTTTTGTATGTTAATTCATTTGGTATAAGGTTAAGTTCAGTGTCGCAACCATTTTATGTAACACAATGTATTTATGTTCATTTGAGGGCAGACGTTACATTTTCATAATGCTCGTATAGATACATGTATAGCCGTACCTATATACAGAATGTGACAACAAATATAAAACTATTTAAAATACCCGTGAAATAAAACGCACTGAAATAATCAAACGCAAAACGCGTAAATAATCTCCTACCACTTATTTTACATGTCAAACAATAGCGAGGTAATTAACCCTTTAATTTATGGCAACATTAATAAAGATCTACACAAAAATACTGTCATTCATTTTATGAACAATTGTTACAAGATACATCACAATCATTTTAAAACTATACGGCATCCTTTTGTAGTTTTAACAGCCACATTTAATGCCACTTTAGTTGAGCTATTAGTCGACACAGTTACTTTTATGAAAGTTATTCTTCAGATTTTAGTAGCCAAGGAGTTACGAGGGTCGTAAACTAATCTGTCACTAAAAGAGAATACGGAAGAATTAATTTTATATGTTGATACCGGTGAGTTTCGTTCGGATATCCATTTCATCACTCAGGAAATTGGGTCGCGGAGAAACGGGTGCCCAGACCGAGCTCACCGACATTAGTGACTATTAACATCGTGTTTAACGCTATGTTAAAAATATAAATCCTCATAAAAATACATGTAGATTTATTTAAAGTAAATATAGTTGTATTTTTGTGAGTATATCTTTAACATATTAGTGGGAAAGTGACTTAATCTACTGTCTAGCTTTTAGGCCTTATTTTTGCCCTGCTCTAGCGCTTAGGCCCTTTATTCGTCTATGTTCTAGTACAGAATTTCGAAACGATTTGTTCATTTCGTTTTTAGAACAGCTAGTGAGGGGACCATTTGAATTTGAATGCTAAGCGTTCAGTTTAACGCTCCTTTGTGAGTCAGAGTGCACGGTTCGGTGACTGCGAAAATTCGACGCTTGTTCGTACACCTCGCGTTTCGGACGAGCGACGCGAAACCTTTTAAACATTGATATTTTACTTAAGTAAGTGTAAAAAAATTTCACGATATAAAATGTGATCAGCGATAAAATCAGGTTATTTGGAAGTAAGACTATGCTACTAGCTACCACTTGCGTATGTAATAACAGTGATATCTTTATAATCATGAAGAAATTGAAGAAAAAGATCTTGCACATCAAAGTTCTTATTTGTAAATATTCAAGACAAAGACGTCAACTTTTACCCACCATTAAATACATCAATATTTCAAAAGTAATAGTTTCTATGTAACAATTGCGCACTCAGTTTTTATTATGGTGTAAGATTGATTTTAAATTATATTCTATGGACCAATAAAGTGTTATGAATCGACTTGTTACCACGGCACTATTCAAATTCCATAGAAGAATTATGTTTTCAAAATTGGAGCACAATGACGTTACATGCGCGGGCGCAAGCTATTGTGTATGAATAGTAAATACACAAGTTATTCTAAGGCTTTTGGCGCGTGACTAGTAACGTTAAAATGTTTACTTTTAGAAGTTCTTGGAGATTTTGTTTAAATAAACAATCTATAAATTCGTATTTTTTCTATGTGATAAGTAGTTAATTAAAATCAAAAATCATTAATACTTTTTTTTATACTTTTATGGCAGGTGTTATTATTGGCAGCCTGTATAGATTTGCTTGTCAAAACACGTGAAAATACATAGTAAAAAAAATTATTTCAATTCAGTAATAGTTCAGTGTTGAGGGTCTAAATTTTTTTTGAGGTTTCATTACACATATAGTAATAATTATGAAGATGTTGTAGAAAGAAACCCAAAAGGCTATACCTACTTAGTTATAAACAAATATAAATGTACTTACTTAAATAAATTATCTTTAAAAATCTACATTGTAACTAAATGTGCAAATAGTGAAAAGGAACAAAACAGGCAGTCATGTTGTTTTTGTGCGCATCTCGAATGAAAGCTTCATCATAAAGGTTTCTTTTGCGAAAAAAGTTAAAAAGCCACAAGTAGGGGATTGCAGGATGGCTTCAAAATAAACACCTGTATCCGTTGCTGGGAACGAGGGGATTTTGTATGTAAGTACCCTAACGTGTTTACCACTATAGGAACAAAAATGTTGAAAGAAGGTAACTAGTGTCTACCTGTACTGCACCAATGCCATTAGGCTACAATGAAAACTACACTAAGCTACGACTAGGCCTAAATGCTAAAGACTTAAGTTCCAAATTCCCGTAGCAACAAAATTAAAGTAAATAACAACAAAAGAACTGCCATATAAAGGTCAATGACGTGAGAATATCTTGAAACTGAATGGAAAAGAATATAATAAATACAGTAAAGTTAAGTCTCTGAATGTCATTGTTACCGAACCGGAATTGACAGGCGCGATACCAACCGACTAAGAACCACACTATTTTGTAAAATTATCACTTACTATCTGATAACAACTGTTTATTTATCTACTTAATTTACATCTATACCACAATGAATCTCCTAAGTATTACGAAAAAGTTTTTATTCAAATTCAAAGTGAACAAAGGTTATCCTCAACTAGTTTTACGCTGGAATCGAACACAGATACAGTATTCAACCTTTCATTCGTAACTATCAATAGAAACACGCAAAATATAACATTATTTCAACATTAGCATAATCGCTGAACCGAAAAGGTAGGTACCGAAGTAATTTAAACTAATCCAAGTATGAATCATCTAGTTTCCAATGCAAAATGGATTTAGGCAAGTACCGACCGATGTGCGCCGCACTATGAAACACAAGTAATTACTTAAAGGTACCCCAAATGGGTTCTGACGATGTTCTTATCTAGGTGCTATTGTTTAACACGCTTCTTTTATTCCCACGGTCGCGGCGGCAGCCGACTGATAACGCTCCGTACCTGTGTCGAGGCACCAGAGAAAACGACGCGTGGTATTCTGACAATGTACGTTAGCGGGAAAAACGCTTGGAAATCAACTAATTGAAATCCCCACAGGATTTATTAGGACCGCCGTAATAGCAGTCTTAATTGTTAACCTGTATTCGTAAGTAATGGTGGAAAGGCAGAGCACAACAAACGGCCTAGTGATTTATGTGCCGCCTTCTCCTACTTACAACTATTTCTTAAGCACTCAACTGCTAAGTGGATACCACAACTGGTAATTGAAAGTAGATAATTATGTACTATGTGTACCTAGCTCGCTAATTTCATAGGTGAGAAAGATAAATTTAAAATGTTATTATTTCGCAGTATCACAACATTGTATGTTACACTGAAAGTTTTTCAGCAGCTGCAGTGCAACACCAGCTAATTAGTGCTACAAATAATTAGAGCAAAACTTTGTTAATAATGTACTAATACTTGCATTACTTTTGGTTTCGATACACAACATAAATATGTACATGAAGCTTTTGCATCTACATCAAATGTTCCCTGGAAGTTTGTTATCGCGGTTATTTTGTGTTCGTACTCAATTGATAATGAACAATATAAACCGAATGTTCGTAACTATGTACTCAAACAATAAATATTACAAATATACAGTTTCGTATTCATCTCATGAGGTCAGAAATCGCATTGTTGAATTTTAATATCGAAATGGAACGGCAACAAACAAAGAGTAGGGCCGGGAGTCAAGTGCAAAATTCAGAGCAGCCCACGCTCCTGCTGAGGATACATTATGTATACTAGGTATATGAGCCGAATCCATTATCCAATGACGTACACCAATTACCCATTTAATGCAATTTGGGCCATTGTAAAGTTGTCCAGGACGAGTTCTCGTACATTCCCGGCGACACTCACTCAAAAGCACCAATTAGAGAAATCACTAGTGAGCAGACACTGTGTGGACACCGGTCGATCGTTCGCGTTCGTGTTCCGAACCGGTCATGTCAAAATTGGAGTAGTATCCGGAGAGTAGAGTGGCAAGGTGTGAGCGCGCGCGTGCGTCGCAGTGGCCGGCGACCGACTACTCGCAGCTGAATGGGCGCTCGGCGGAGGGGCGAAGCTCGCACCGTCTCACTCCCAGCGAGCTTACGAAAATCACCAATTGCGACTGTCCCCTCATTAAACGAGGTAATTTCACATTACAACGACACACTTGTAGTTTCGATACGCGACGAGCCGGCGCCGCGGGTGCACTAGATACCCGCTGCCCCGGGATGTGACTCGGCTCGAGGTGCCGTGAAGGAGTACGAGGTTTTTTTTAAGAGCTTCCGATCGAAGCTCCGGTATATCGCTAAGCATCCGGTATCACCTGCTCGCACTCGAGAGGAGACTGCGCGTTAGAAGGAGATGAAGTGATCGACCAGAACGCGGACCGGATGGCGGACTCGGTTATGAATGAATCCGCCGTCTCGCTCTGGCCGGGGCGCTTGCGTAACGCAGTCTCGCTCCAACGCAGGTTGTCGCCGTAGAGGAAGTGAAAGGGTCGGGGGGCGTAGTAAATATTGCGCTCCGTATATCCGTCGGAGTATTTTCTAAAGGGCCTCGGTTTTTGTGGCACCATAAAGTGCAGTCCGTCTTCATTCATAGATCTGCACACGCAATACATAGTACCGGTGCATTCCACAGTCAATAGTAACGCTCAATGACACTAATCCCTCAAAGGTTGGAATTTATAGACAATGAACATGCTGTGTTCAAACAGGACAATTAAATAGTCATATTGATTTAGTAAATTACATAATAATGGTTAGAGGTTGGCTACAGGTAGGCAGGAAGTGGTACAAATTGGCAGTAACATAGAGTACCTCAATTGATTCTTGACTATGACAAATGAATGAAACTGAGACAGGATGTTATGCAGGAGGCCTGTAGTGGGGCTTAATGAAGAACGACAGAGGTCCTTCGTTGTTGAGGCAAATACTTGAGAATAAGTCAAACTCAGTGCAAACAACATCAGTCTCAAGTACAGTTTGTTGTTTGTAGGTGTGTCGTTGGGTCAGGCGACGCAGGCGGCGCTCATTGTTCGCGGTATTGTTATCTGCTGGGCGCGCCGCGAGCCGTGTCCCTTGTCAATGTTTGGACGACGTCGGCAGTCACCACGTGACACCACACAGGCCCTTTGATCACAGCAAATATTTTGACATCAGCTTAACTATACCAGGGATTGAAGATCTCATGTCAAAAGTAACAGATGACAGATAATGGATAAATCAAAGAATAGAGATAAAATCGTCGATGACGCAGATAACGTTGACAAATGGATTTAGACATTTTGTGTACACAACTAGTCTGTATTTCTTTTTAATATGCAAACTATATTTATTTCCCAAGATGCTAGCAATGTAAAGAAGTATTTCTCCGGTAATATATCAGCGTCTAGTCCACTTAATACAAAAGATAAAGATCACTAATTCATACCGGTTCCAATTCTACGCAATTAACATTTTTTTTTCTCACTCCACATTGATTGGATATAATAAATGTGGATTTTGAAACGCAAAGTTAATTTTTATTGAATTATAGGACTGGCAACGCATACATAATCTTGACTCAATACTTCTTTGTGTGTTTACAAAAAGGACTCTCTTTTTGAACTTAGTACAACTTTACAAAAGGGTTTAAAAACTTTACAAAAGAGGTTTACAATTGCCTTTCACTTAAACAAATAGAGGATGTGGTCAGTATTGTCATCATGGCTCGAGTGTTGAATCATGGGCTTTTGGAACGTATGATTTTTGGAAAGAGCATTTGATGCCATTTTCGTCTATCTACGTGTAATACCTATTTAAGAATTGTTCAAATATTTTCTGAACTTGTCAAAATTTATTGTAAACCGAAAATTAAGATATGGAATGGTATACACATACCATATGAAACTATACAGTTTCGTTAAATCCTTCATTGTCTATTGCACAACTCTGTATTTACAAAGTTTGAAACGTGTTTACCAAAAGTACGTATATTTCTTGTTCTCAGAATACCAGTCATCGGCGAGGTGGTTTAAAATAACTAAACTAATGTGAAAATTCGCCGACAAACGTTTTCTACATATTAGCATGGATATACATATTATTATACGACAAAGGAGTAGACAAACAAAGGGTAAATCAGATCAGTGCAGTAAGTTCAAGTGGTTCTCGCCACAAATCAATGGGATCCCGTCGATGTATGTAACCTCTGAGCGCCAGGTGCTACGCGGGAAGTCCCCCGCACGCCCCACCCCTCCCTCTCACAATCCTCCACACACACAGACAACACAAGAGGAAGTGCACACATGCAGCACACAGTGACGTAAAGATCAAATGTGGCTGTGTGTTTCTGTAATTTATTAATGGCTTGCATTTGCGTATGCGCTGCTCGTTGCGCATGAAAAATGGCGGATATAAATATGAATTGAGTGGACGCTAATTCAAAAGTATAGTCATTTAAAGCGGTTGTTCTTGACGCCTGAAAAGAGCCGCCGAGACTTAAAAGCTTTTGACGACTTAGTTTTGCGTGAGATTTATTTATTGGTAACAAATGAACATGCACTGGTGTTGCTCCTCGTAACACCTTGTTGGTGACGTATCTTGTTAAGGATCTAATTTATAGTATACTGGGGTTTTTAAATATCTTTTCATGTATTTATTACTTGGAAGGAATTAAAGGCGTAATTTTTGGTGTATCATTTAGCCAATTATGTTAAGAGTTCCATGTAACATGAGAAGAGCCTACTACTAACGTAGCTGTACACCAGGCTTCAACACAAAGTTTGTTCTATTCCTAGAAATTCCAGAAGACTATCAGATCTTAGCAGTGCATTCTTTTTCAAGCCTTTTTCAAAGTGTGAACTAATATTTACATGTAATAGGGATTCTGTGACAAATATGTACTTTTCTTTATCTATACATCTTTTTGCAAAAGGACAAGTCGAAGCCATGAGTTAAGTGTTACTCATCAAAGGAATGCTTTTAAAGCTTCTTCTATCATACAACACAAGTATTGTGCACGTTCATCGCTCACAATGGAAATTATCAACAGGTAGCTAAGGCCTATACAATGTGTCCTTCCGGTATCCGATACTATCACACACCACCCCAAAATCAACTCTATCATAACCACACAAAGCAGAATTCAAAATAAAACCCAAAAGGCAAATAGTTCCACGCTCAAAATATTGGACTTGGAAACACTTCAAAGTACTTTGAGGCTTAGTGTTCTCAATTTAAAGTGTTGTTTCAAATAACTACAGTGTTCAGTAAGGTTTTAGAGTAACTTGCACTGCAGGGTTACCCACCATCCGGTGTAAGGTGATACCGTGGGGAAGTGAGCACCATTTCGGGGAAAGATAACCCCTCTATCATATTAACATAATTAAATGTGATAATGAAACTTTTTTACGAGTGTTTAAGGTGAAAAATCCGTTAGCAATAATTTGTCGAATTAAGAATCGCGTTTATGTCTTTTCAATGGCGTTTCCGGTCGCGTTCTAGTCGCCATTTTGTTTCGTAACAGCGATTGAAACTTTTATTGTGTGTGTGTTTTTATTTTGTATTCATGTTACACAATGAAGAAATACATGTAAACGGCAATGAGGAATTGTTTATTGGTAAATGTTAGTTAAGAGTTAAGATATTATCACAAGGCTCTCGACGACCGACTCTCGATTTCTTAAAATTAAGTAATTACTATTAGCCAATAAATTCCCACAGGTACCTTAATATCTCTATCTATTTACACTTACATTTAATTTGTAAGACACTTATGTTACAAAATAATTACCGAACCTTCAGATTAATGCGATAAAGATATAGCTATGACTACACATTTACATAAAGTACTTGTAAAAAATCATTTAATAGACGCCAAGGTACAATCACGACGAAAAACTATAACCATAACTCAAATGTGAATAATGAAGTACTTCCAAATACCTACGTGGTGGTATAATAAGAAAAATTACACGCGACCGTATCTACTACATAAATCGTCCTGTATTAATTAAATATAATGGGCCACTGATACCTACGTTTCTCTTCCCAACTGACCACTGATCGAGAACCAGTTCTTTCTCCATCCATTAATTTATATTGCCCAAATTAAATTAACATGAAATCTAAACAGTATCTATCGAATATTAAACGTATGTTGCCTTATCTCAGATTATTACTGTGTTTTTAAGATTTTAAGTAAAACAAAAATATATACGACCAATTCATGTCATGAAACCTATTAAAAGAAAACGTAAAGTAAGCTCGAAGTGTTCGCTTATCAATAACGCGAAGCTCTTACAAATGAAGACAAACTGGTACTCTTTGCAGAAGCGGCTCATTGTGAGACAACTCCCAGCGAGGTCTAGACTTAAAATAAAAATAATCACAAACAGTAAATGTCGAACGGAACCATAAAAAGTTGAGTAAAAGGCGTCGAAAGAAGGCAGCGAATTTTGAAGCAAACCAGTTTAATGAGGGTCGAATTTAAATACGAAAATAAAGCGGTTCCCACGGAGTCGGTCGCGGGAACGGAAGCCTCGCGATGTCGCGGCGACGCGGCGCGACTGCTCATATCGCGCGATCATCGCTCGACGCCTCTTCGAGCGATCGAGTGGACTACGCCACGCTGGCCGCCCTAGTGCATCGCTACCCGCATTGTCAAGGTCGAAGGATTCACAACAAAGATAATTGCAAACATTTTTTTACTTACACCTATTCTTTCCTATCTTATTACATTTACAGTCGCAGAAATAAGCTCGAAGCTTGCTTGCATTAAAGCCTAAAGCTTGTGTTGAGAAACAACTTTAGGATGTTACATTATAGTTAAACGAAGCCTCAGTCTCGGAGGTCGACTTAATTGAGTATAGATATGAGATCACAGCTCCCGTGAAATTGATTCGATTAATAATATAATCGTATTTCACGATTTTTTGTCGATATAATTTGTTACGGTGAGCGGTAATTTACATCGGATGGCGCTCTGCAATCGGTAGCATTTTAGCTTCTGTTATTAATTATTCGTATACCTACAGTAATTATGGGAATATAATAAAATAAATGAAATTGTTTCATAATTTAAGGGGCTTTTTTTGGCTAAAAGCTTGTTTTACAGCATTCGAAGTGGTACATCATCGCTAATTAATAGTGAGCAGAATGAGAACTTTTCTTTGATGAACTGTTTGAGGATTGTATATTTAAGACAACGGTTGCTATTGCTATCAAATCTTCAAATACTTTGATGTATGTATTGTATACACACAATTTATG